TTATTAGTGATTGGTGATTTATACATAAATTAAATTTTTCTTTGTTTTTAGATGAGAACCACGGAAGAGCATTTCGGAATAATCCTCGATTATAGCGAGCAACATAGCGAGCTCATAACGAATAAATTTGTCGGAGCCAGGGGCAAAGAAAATTTGCACCGACAGTGGCAAGAGTTGGTGGACGTTTTGAATGCCCTGCAGACTGAGACGAGGACAGTAAAACAATGGAAACAGGTGTGTAAACAATTATAATAAATTATAATTATTCATAGATTTTTTAACATTTGAGGCTCAATAATATTCATAATTCTATACAATAATAATATTCAAAGATAATATATGTATGTGTATATATATATATATAAATGAAGTATGCACGATTTTATATAAACAATAGCTTTATTTAGTACATAATCTAAAAAGATATATAAATTGACAATTTTGTTAGCTGCATAGTAACCGCAGCGAGCATTCATTGAATATATGGATTTTACAGGTTGTCGCAGACTGGAAATGCCGGGTAAAGAAGCAGTATGCTGAATTAAAGAAAGACTTCACAGCTGGAGGTGGGGCTCCGGTGATGGAAAACCTCACAGATCAGGAGATGCGCCTCCTAAATATAATGGGCATGACTGCAGCAGATGGGGACGAAGGGCTACAGGAATACGGCTTGGAATTTGAAGTATGTTCGTAAAGAAATACTTATTTTTTACTTTTTCACCTACTATAATTTGATAAACATTCACTTTCTTTCTCTGTACGTACGTCTGTCTGTCTTCCTTTCTCTCTACTTTTCCTTCTATAATTTCAATACTTATTTATTTTAATTCAAGTAAACAATAGATGTTTTTTAGTAAATTTGTGGTATGTGTTGTCGACATCACAACTTTTATAGTTGAAACCGCTCGACTTCTTGTTCCTTTTTTGTTCCTTTTTTCTTTTTTTCTTTTTGTTCCTTTTTGCAGTATACATTCATTACTGACAAATCTTATCCGTTAAATCTTCAAACAGTAATTGTTCATGTTCTACAAACCTTGATATGTATTGTCGACGTTGCAAATTTTTACTTGATTCGGCACAACCTCGATTAATGATGTATGTGTATTTATAAGTATTATTCATTGTCAGTTAATTACTAAAGATTTCGTAGTGCACCATTTTTCATAAAGTAAAGTATATTGTAAAACTAAACAATGTACTTTTACGTTTCTCACGACTTCAATTTTTCAGAAGTCGAGCGGCCCTAACTAAAATTTGTAATGTCGACAATACATATCAACGTTTTGAACATGAACAATTATTGTTGAAAGATTTAACAGCCTAGTAATTGCCATGAATGAAGGTATATTGCGAAACTGAATAATGTATTATACATGTTTAATGAATTAAATTTTTCAGAAGTTGGGTGATGTCAATTATAAATGTTGTGATA